TGAAACAGCCTCATGCCTCTGAGTGTTGACTTCAATGTTCAATTTATATTTATATTTACATACATTCTATCTAGCATTTATCCTATAAATATAACACTTTAAAACTATGTTTCTGTATATATATATATATATATATATATATATATATATATATATATATATATGAACATAATAAAATAGGCAGCATATATTTTAGATTACAAAAGAGTTAATCATACCTTTGCTAATTGATTCAATGTATGATTACCTCTTTGTAATATATATATATATATATATATATATATATATATATATATATATATATATATATATATGTCTGATTGAATAAAATAAATACAAACATTATTATTTTATCATAATCCTTTCATATTCTCGAATATTTTTCCGTATATTACAATTGAATAGGGCAAGGACTGTAATTCAATTGTAATATATGGGAAAATATTCGTGAATATAAAAAAGATTATGATGAAAATAAGCAGAGTAATGTTTGTAATTTATTCAATCAGACATGCCTAAAAGAGAATACATAAATCTCTCTCCCTCTCTCTCTCTCTCTCTCTCTCTCTATATATATATATATATATATATATATATATATATAAATATAAACAGCATCAAAAACCTAATCGTGTCATCTGTATTCTTTATATGTAAAAGATTCAGATAGATATCAGTGAAAGAACCATATCAAAAAAGACAAACGAAAAACTCATCTTAGCCGACACGTTTTGCCCTCTGAGGAAGTTTATCGAGGCAAATACAAGGATTTTTATTTTGTAACAAACATTTCTATCTATATATTTTGTAAGAAGCATTCATATTTATATTTTTGCTCTTGTATTTAAATACTTGTTATAAAATGAAATCCTAGCATTTGCCTTGATAGAGTCCCTCAGAGGATGAAATGCGTCGACTAAGATAAGTTCTCCTTTTGTCTTTTTTTTTTGTGTATATATAGTGGTGGAGTCTCCTATCGTGAACGAGAAATGAGGGTCAGCACTGGATGGTGCCTTTCGTTTTACACTTGCATGCTAGCAGGGGCTATTGTGGTAAAAATCAGGCAAGGAAAAGACGTATTCCATTTGCTACGGGCGACAAAGCCACACTGACAGATGAAAATTTGTTAAAGCTGGATTTTGATGGCGTCTCTGCTTCAGAGCAGGACGAAGCTGATCACGGTGCTTCAGTCTACTGTCTTCAAAACCCTTTAACTTAATGAGACGTGTCTTACGCCACACTTTTGTTTTGATGCTTAATACATACACATACATACATACATATATATATATATATATATATATATATATATATATATATATATATATATATATATATATATATATATATATATATATATATATTTAAGCATTTCCCCAAGCAAGGCAGGAGTGTCAATAGTACACAAGGAGCTACAGACAGTGTAAGTAAGGGAAAAGATTATGTATTGTGGTATTGAGGAAAGGTTAAGAAAAAATGAACGGAGAAGGATAGAAAGAAGAAAAGGGATCAAGGCATCAGAAGATGTCGATTGAAATTACATTTAGATTTTTGAAGATTCTAGTTATCAGGGAAGCAAGTAAGAAGAAGGGAGTTCCACTGTCGGGAAGCGCGAGAAAAGAAGCTGTTAGGGTAGAAAAGGTGGCTACATTTGACTGTTTCGACAGTAAAAGGGTGGGACCGAAATGCCAATCTATAAGAGGTCTCATGTTTCAAAACAAGCTCTTGTTTTGAAACATGAGACCTCTGATGTAGCGTGTTGGAATCATATTTTTAAATAAATAATTATCTTTATGCTCTACTTTTGTATCGAGCACTATTTTTTAAAAATAATAACAAAAATACTAAAGAACTTTGGATTATTTACCTAACGAGTTCTTTCCTATTTTCTATATATTTTCACACACACACACACACACATGAAAACATGCTCATTAGATAAAACCCTGGTGATGACATTGTGCTAATGTCGTAAGTAATCGAAATAAAATGAATATGCATCAATATGGTAACTTTCTTTCTTCTTTTAATAAAAATACTAAGAAACTTGCCCGTAATTATCAGAGGACCCTATTAAAAATTAAAAGACAAAACTTATTTAATGACACACACACACACATATATATATATATATATATATATATATATATATATATATATATATATATATATATCCTCCTTAATGTCATACTCCCGTGTGGTGGAAAAATAGGGCCACTGGCTCACTATGTTAGGTGTGACTTTGTAGCAAGTCACAGCTCACGTCCAAGCAGGTTTTGGATTCAGATTTATATTTCTCCTAGACTGGTTGACAACCAAGGATAGAGAGTCAAATCTGTCATGTTATTTACAGGGACTTCTGCGAGAAAGTAGACGTAGCGAATTCGGCACGCAGATTCCTCTTTCCGCTATTCTACACGCAGACATTCTTAATACACATACACACACACACACACACACATATATATATATATATATATATATATATATATATATATATATATATAGATAGATAGATAGATAGATGGGTGTACGTATGTGTGTGTGTTTATGTGTGTATGTATTTATACAAAGACGAATTAAAACCAAAAAGAAGAGGGGCAACTGTCAGTTTCACGCCGGGCTCTGGACATTTTTTTCTCATAAAGCATTTTTGTTTTGTTTTCTAATACTTTCTGTTATAGTAGCTTTTTCTTTTTGACATTGATCACTATTTTTACACCCATGCTACGTGATAGTAATTTTGTTGTTATCACATATAACATTGTGATTTTATTACTCATTTACTGGTATCGTTATTATATGACAAAAGACAAAACGAAAACTTATTACATATCGTCTTTTTACAGATATATTTTACTTATATCTGAATTTTTAAACACACACGATCGCACACACACATATATATATATATATATATATATATATATATATATATATATATATATATATATATATATATATATATATATATATATATAGGTTCGCCTCATCAGGTTCACACGCTTTCCGTTCTCTTGAACAGGAGTCGAAGATTATCCCTGGTTTCTTGTTCCTTCTAATGTCTTTTCCTTCTCCTTCGTCCAGTAGCCCCTTGCGTCTTAGTGGCATTATCACCTTGCTCAGTATGAATTGATTAATATATATATATATATATATATATATATATATATGTATGTATATATATATATATATATATATATATATATATATATATATGTGTGTGTGTGTGTGTGTAATATTTATATATATTATTTATATACTATATATCTATCATTGATAGAGCTAGAGTTAGTCTGACGACCGCAAAGGCGTGAAAGCCAGGGTCACAAACACATATCAATCCAAATAAATAAATATATATATATATATATATATTCCTTATTCTAGCATTCTATCAGATATGGATTCTAATTCATAATTGATCCAAATATCAAATATATATATATATATATAATATCAAATATCATATATATATATATATATATATATATGTGTGTGTGTGTGTGTGTGTGTGTGTGTGTGTGTGTGTTTGTGTGTGTGTGTGTGCAGAGACGTAGAGAGAGATGGAGATAGACTTCAAGAGAGGGGAACCAAATATAAACTGATTCTTAAAATCGCTCCGAAAAGCGTTTAAAATTCCAGCCTTAACAAGTTTGCTGCTACAACTGACAGTTTCATGATCACTCCATCTCCAGGCACCAAAATTAGTAAAAAGTGTGCACTAAAAAATTAACTTACAATTACCAGCAACGACCAACACCCCCACTCCCACCTCTATTTGGCGTAACCGGTAATAGTAGCTGTGAACACCTATGAAATAGAAACCATTCTCACCTTACTTTTTAGCCGCGAGCTAACAAAGCACTTATTTTCATGCCTACACTAACTAATCAGTTCAATAGTTCTTGAGTACAAATTAGTTGAGTGAACATTACTTGACCAACATATTACGTTACTCAAGTACACATCGAAACAGTATTTTAGGCAACCATCGTCATTACATGATAAGCTATGTATTCACCCTTCACAAGTTCATTGATTAGATTTTTTTTAATTTTAAAACAGGGTATTTAAAAAAAAATATGATAAAATAAATTTCATTGAAATAATTTCCGAATTTGAGATCGGTGAGTTTTGTTAATTCTTTACTTTTTCTCAAAGAGTAAATTTTTATTTAATTGTCATTCTATATTCTCCGACCGACGAAAAGCAGTTGTCTTTGTGGAATAAATATTTTCTGTGAATGTTTAAATCATAAGAAATATGAAAGCAGTCTGCTTCTATATGATGTCATCATTATCCATTCGATGTGATTTTTAAATCAACGACTGCATTGCATACTCCGCTGAACTGGAAGGAAAAAAAAACACTCTGATCTCGTCTGTCGGCCTTCCTTTTTTTTCTGATCTCATATCTTCCTTGCTTGCTCGCCTTCTTCTGTTTCTCCTTGGTTAACAAAGCTCCGTTAAGAGTTTTCTATTCAGATGAGCTGAGTCTTAACAAGATTTTTATTCAGGATTTTAGAGGAGCTGTCAACAAAGAATATTCCCAAACGCATTCAAAGATCGAGGCTTACCGTGGAGTCACGGTTAGCAATCTTTTCTGACAGACAACTTCGATGCTGTAATGAAATCAGTTTTATATTAACGCTCAATTAATGTCTATCTTGTACCATACTTTTCTAAGCTTAGAAAATATATATACATATATATATATATATATACATATGTAAATATACATATATATATATATATATATATATATATATATATATATATATATATATCTGTGTAGATTATTGCCTAAACGTCGTTTTTAGTGAATACCCATATTTGAGTAGACGACCAGTATATTTTTTTTAACTATTCGAGAAATCTTATTACAGAGAAATATGCGCTCTCCTGCAGGATTCGAACCTGGTTCCCCCTTGGCAGAAGGAACAGACTTTAGAAGCGACATGCTTGTATCGACTCAATGTAAACGCATCACTTATTTAGAAATATACATATATAATGACGCACAATCTATCTATCTATCTATCTATCTATCTGTCTGTCTATCTATCTATTTCGCTCTCTCTCTCTCTCTCTAA